TCATTTTCAGAGAGAGGAAAGGAGAGGGAGAGAGAGATAGAAACATGATGAGAGTCATTGATCAGCTGCCTCCTGCATAGCAGTAGCATTTACAATATTTACAAGTATTTACAATAAGTATGAAAAGTGCTCACTGTACGCCTCCCTACTGGGGATCGAGCCCACAGTCCAGGCATGTGCCATGACTAAGAATCGAACCATAATCTCCTGGTTCATAGGTTGACGCTCAGCCACTGAGCCACGCCAGCTGGGCCCTTCTCCTCTTATAAAAAACACTAGTCATACTGAATTGGGGCCCGCTTTCATACTAACTTTTTTAGATATGTAAAGACCATATTTTCAAATAAAGTAACATTTAGAGGCACTGGGGTTAGGATTCAACATATCTTTTGCAGGGGGATACAATTCAGTCCGTAACACTATGTCATTTTAGAACCATAACTTCTAAATATTATTTTGGATGGTAGTAAAATATATTTTTCACATGATAAAGAAAATTGTTTTGAAATTTAATAGACAATGTTATATTGAGAATAACTGCCTAAAATCCTGAATATCCTAAAATAAATCTTGAAATAAAGAAATAAAGTATTTACAATAAGTATGAAAAGTGCTCACTGTACAATGAGAAAAACAGCAAGAATCCATTAACAATGGACATGAATAAACTGTTCACATGAAAGTATGAGCAAGCCCATGTTAAAAGGTTCTTTCATATATCAGTTAACCCTTATAAATTGCTATATTAGTTTGACCCTTTTGGAAAGCAATCTGAAAACATGTCTAACCATAAAAATGTTCACATCCTTTGGTCTTATTCATTCAACAGAAAATCTAGTCTTTACTTTGTACCAGTCACTCTGCTAAGTACTAGGGATTCAGTGGCTAACAAGAAAGACAGTGTCTCAGCTTTTGTTTATACAGAATATCATCTTTTTGGGAAAGAAGTAACATGTGAAAATCATATCGTTCATCCACTCTCTTGGCTTCTCTACTTTAATTTTAGCTCCTTCATCTCTTACTGGTTTCTCTTCATTTTCCTAACCTATTAACATTGGAAGGCCCAAGACTCAGTCCCTGGACCTTTTTTCTCACTCACTTGATTGTCTCATTCAGTCTTATATCATCTATATGATAATAATTTCCCAATTTTTTTCTATACCCAGAACCTCTCTCTTGACCTTTAGACTTAGACATTCAGTGACTTATTTGACATCTCTATTTAATCTTAATTAAATAGTATGGTTTTATTTAGCTATATAGTACCTACTACGTGCCAGGCAGTACCATTGTGCTAAGTGCTGAGGATTAAAAAATAAATACACACTGCCCTCAAAAAGCTTACAGTTTAATGCAGAGATTAGATAAACCAATAATCAGCTATAATACAGTCTGACAGATGCTATAGCAGAGTTTATCACAAGTTGAAATTAAATTTGTGTAATGATTGCTCTGTGAATTGTTGTTAAACTAATCTTTTTAACCCACAGAGGCTTTCTTCAGTTCGTGTGGTAGTTTACATAAACTAAGTGAAGAGCTGCTGATTCCTCCTCCTCTTCCTCCTCGAAAAAAATTTGATCATGATGCTTCAAATTCCAAGGTAGTCATCTCATTCCAAGTTGTAAATTTTTTAAATAGTGTGTGTTCTTCTAAAGAGTCTGTCAGTTAGAATCTGGCTACTCTCTATGGTTTTTAAACATTTGGGTTGTTTTATTTGAAAAATACATTAAATAATTTTTTAATCCTCATACTACTTTTTCTAAAAGAAGAGGCTGGGCAGATTCACAGATACTCAGAAGTACATTTTCTTTCCTGTAGAGGTTGAAATAACTTGAGTATTCAAAGCATTCTTCAAACTTTAGGGTGCATCAGAATCACCTGTAAGGCTTGTTAAAACCAGATGGCCGGAGTTTCTGATTCAGTAGGTCTCGTGTGAGGCTCAGTAATTTGCGTTTCTAGCAAGTTCCCCACCGTTGCTGATGCTGCTGGTCCCTGGATCACACTTTTCAAACCATGATTCGAAGCCTCACTGGGGAAAGTAGAAATAGACGGCCAGAAAGCAGAAACTAGATATTAAGTCCTCTTAATATCATGTTCTTTCATGTCCACAAAACTATATATTCTTTTCATTCACTTGCCTATTATTATAATTAAAATGCATAAGTTTATGAAATGTATAGGCAAAGCAGGATAACGTGGCATTATGTTCTAAGATTTCAATTAAAACATCTCATATATAATCAAAATATTAAACTGGGTCCTGAATTAAACTGGGAGTAATTTACTCATAAACCTGATCATTAAATCAAATTAACCTATTTTGAATGTCTGGATTTAACTTGGTCCAGTTAAATTTCTTTCATTCATTCATTCATTCATTCATTCATTCATTCATTCATTGTTAATCCTCACTGGAGGATATTTTTTCCATTGATATTTAGAGTGAGTAGGAGGGAGAGATGGAAAGAGAGAGAGAGAGATTGATGTGAGAGAGAGATATCGATTGGTTGCCTTCCACATGTGCCCAGCCAGGGCCAGGGATGAACCTGCAACTCAGGTATGTGCCCTTGACTGGGAATAGAACCCTAGATGCTTTGATGAGTGGTCCAACACTCTAACCACTGGGAAACACTGGCCAGGCAATTCTTTTAAAAACTTTCTTCCAGATTTTTCAGGAGAACAGAAGTATAATTTAATTACTTTTTTTTAAGGGAAATATGAAATCTGATGATGACCCCCCTGCTATTCCACCAAGACAACCTCCTCCTCCAAAGGTAAAACCCAGAGTTCCTGCTCCTACTGGTGCATTTGATGGGCCTCTGCCTAGTCCACCTCCACCGCCGCCGAGAGATCCTCTTCCTGATACTCCTCCACCAGTTCCCTTTCGGCCTCCAGAACACTTTATAAACTGTCCATTTAACCTTCAGCCACCTCCACTGGGACATCTTCACAGAGATCCAGACTGGTTCAGAGACGTTAGCACATGTCCAAATTCGCCAAACACTCCTCCTAGCACACCCTCTCCAAGGATACCACGTCGATGCTGTGTGCTCAGTTCTAGTCACAATAATCTTGCTCATCCTCAAGCTCCCCCTGTTCCACCAAGGCAGAATTCAAGCCCTCACCTACCAAAACTGCCACCAAAGACTTACAAACGGGAGCTTTCACACCCCCCATTGTATAGACTGCCTTTGCTGGAAAACGCAGAAACTCCTCAATGACCTTAGCCATATGTAGTCATTGACACTGGAATGGTATTTGTAAAGGTTTTTTTTTTTAATTTATTAAAAAAAGGCATAGTATTTTAGTACTTTTTACAAATAATGCTCTTAAAAATGCTACTGATCAAATAAGCTTTTAAAATTGGAAAAATAAAAATACAAAAGTCCTTTGCCATTATCCTCAGGTGATCAGTAGCATTGCCTTGTCTTGGATCCTCAGTGCTGCCAAAAGGCCAGTATAAAGAATTTATATTTGCACTGTAGACTCTGTTAACATATGGTTTAAAGTGACATTGATTGCACTGAAAAGGGATAGTGCATTTGTGGATTTTTTCAAATTTGAGTAATAGCTGCCTTATTAAGGCAATAAATTTACATAAATACAGGGGGTGTATGGTGTTATTGATTTTTAAACCTCTTTGACCATCTTCTAGTTTTTACATTTAGGAGAATTGTGAATAACACCCATTGTTCTTAAACTCTTTAATGCCATGTCTTAAATGCCAGAATTTGCTGCTAAAGACAAAAATGAAAAATAGAATGAAAAGAATAGAATGCACTGTGTTTATTATTTTGTCAAAATGTAAACAAAAAGACTACCTAATCCAATCATAGAGGAGAAAAGGGCATGTATCTTATTCAGATGTGCCTTTTGTTTTTGCAGACTACGGTGTCTTTAGCTAATGAGTTGCCTATTGTTTTGGAAAACAAAGTTAATATGCCATGTATGTACAGTTTTGTTTATATTGTATATTTAAAGATAATGCTGATAACCTATATAAATTCAAGTGACTCGAGGCCTATAATACAGTCTGTTACTTTACTAATTCATAAACGCAAAAGAAAAGTTTCTTATGGCATAGGAACCAACTGCCTTGCCTTCAAAACCTAGTAACTTTATAAATCTTGTGTTAACTAAAATTTTTTTAAATATTTTTTTTAGATTGGTAATATTTAAACCAGCAAATACTCAAAGCTTTATTAAACTTTTTAATCAGAGAAGTGAGTAAAACTTTTATTTGACATTTGGTGGACTCCTTTGTTCAAAGTGATGAAAAAGTGTTTTGCTGATAGTGGCATAGCAGCAGATGTAAGGTATCCAAAGCCACGTTGTTTATTTACTGGTCTGTGGCCATTTACTGTGCTTTGTATCAGAGTGCTTAACAAGATTAATAAATCACCCCAGTCTTCATTTTTAAAAGACTTAAAATATGTGTTTTCGGTGTAAGGAACTAGGGGAGAGATTGTTGAGTTCTGTAGAAATATTTATACACACATTATTTTCTATATTTTTGTACATTTTCAGTTTGTAAATCCCAAGGCATTTAAGTGATGTAAATTTTAGAGGGGTAAGTGTCTTCACTGCTAAATGCAATCAGCAAGCTTCTAGCAACCATTTTATGAATTCAGATGAAAAATTAGGATCATGTTGGTAACTCTTGATAAGTAGGATTATAATGATCCTTAGTAGGATGGATTTAAGACTAATAACTACTGTGTGAGTCTCCAATCAGGTAGGCTTTGCCTTTTAAAGAGCAGATTAAAATACTCTTTGTCTGGAGAAGTGATATAAATTGCCTCTTCGTTAAACCAGACTTGTAATGTAGGGGAGAGGGGGGCCCTCCAGCGCGCACGGGACGCCGCGGCCCAGCGCTCAGCCACACCCAGGTAACGCTGCCTTCCGGGCTTTGTGCTTTTGCTCAGGAATCGAGGTACCAATCTCGCCACTAGGAGGCGCCGCACTCCTCTCAAGGCGGGGCCTCAGGGTGGTGCGCGTGGGTGTGACGTCACTTTGTGCGCCACATCCAGTCCCGGGGCAGCGATGGAGGCTACTCTGGGGTCCCCCGTGGAGGACCAATTGGGGAACTTTGTGCGAATTTTGGAGAAGAGAGATGGCACGGTGTTACGACTGCAGCAGTATGGCTCCGGCGGTGTGGGTTGCGTAGTTTGGGACGCTGCCATTGTTCTTTCTAAATACCTGGAAACGCCCGGGTTTTCTGGCGGGGGCGCCCACGCGCTGAGCCGGCGCTCGGTGCTGGAGCTGGGCGCGGGCACCGGGGCCGTGGGGCTCATGGCCGCGACCCTCGGGTAAGCGCTGGCGGGAGGGGCGCCGCCGTGTGTGGGGCACTGACCGCTGGCCGCCCACCGTGCGCCTATGCCTCAGTCGACGTTATTTTATAGGGCAGATGTTGTAGTCACGGATCTTGAGGAATTGCAAGACTTGCTGAAGATGAATATTAATATGAACAAGCATCTTGTCACTGGTTCTGTTCAAGCCAAGGTACTGAAATGGTTTGTATGGCCTTTCGGCTTGTTTTAATAACAATTTGTAGTTTGCTTTAAATTGCGTTTTACTAAAAGCACGGTTAATACGAAGGGGATATTCTGGATCTTGTTTTTAAAACAAGAATATTTTAAATTATTAAAGCAACAGTTAAAATATTTGGTTGACATTTTTAAGGGGGGAAGAAATAGAAGACTTGCCTTCTCCGCCAGACTACATACTGATGGCTGACTGCATATACTATGAAGAGGTAAATATTCAATGAGAGAAGTCTCTTTAGAAGATGTACCGTATTTCCTAGATGCTAGAGCACACGTCTCTTAACTGTTTAAGATATCTAAATTCAGGATATTTGCCCTGTACTTAATGACAGGGTAAAGAGAAATTAAGGTCACCAGGGACTATGTATATACACTCAATTAACATATAGGCCTGTGAGTCATGTTGAGAAAAGTGTTTTGTGCATTTTACTAGAGGCCTCTGTAAAGTTTTAAAAGGATTTTGCCATTTGGATTTGTTAAGAAAAGCTAAGATATCCTTTTTTTTTTTTTTAAACTTAGCTTTTCCTACTGAGTGTGTTAAGCATGACATTGAGAATTAAGTTGCATTGTAAGGAATTCGTTCTGTGGCAAGATTTATTAGATTCAGAATGATTTTTTAAAATTATCAGTTTGTGTAAAGCATTGTAGACATCACTCATTTTTTTAAATAATGAATATTTAGTCAACTTATGTTCAGATTAGGTCAGACTTGCTTTTGTAGGTAAATTGTTGATTATTTAAATCCCAAGTTAAATTAGATTAAATACAATTAAATTTTTTAAAGGGAAGTCAATTCCATTTGTTTTCCCATGGGAACTCGAAAATGCAATTACTTAAATCCTTTGGAAACAGAAGTCAATACAATGGTTAAGAGGAGTTTACTAAAAAATGGGGGGGGGGAAGTTTACTAATCATTAGCTAGAATCTTAACTACATGTACTTTGTTGGATTGATGCAAAGATGGGTAAATGGTAGAAGAGATATAATTACCCCCTCATCTCCCCTACCCCCTTTTACAGTAAAAATATTTTAAAATTTTTATAAACAAATTATATCTTTTTTGAACAGTCTTTGGAGCCGCTGTTGAAAACTCTAAAAGATCTCAGTGGATCTGAGACTTGTATTATATGTTGTTATGAACAGCGAACAATGGGGAAAAATCCAGAAATCGAGAAAAAATATTTTGAGGTGAGTACTCTACTACATCTATCTTTGTAATGATTACCCTTCAGCAAGGCTGTGTGTGACTGTATGTTCAAGTATATTATGGTAATTTTGAATCGGGAAAATATTCTGGTTGTAGATACCCAAGGAGGATTTTTCACCACCCATCATTGTACTAAGCCCACTCCTTTTTTTCATATTTTCCAACCCTTTATTTTTTTTTATTTTCTAATTAGTTGATCTAGTATATAAAGAACAATGTGAAATTATAGTGTTGATGCTCTTGTCTTTTCTGAGAAAGTTTGCAGTGTTTCTTTATTAAAGATTTTGGCTTTTGCCCATCCAGGCATGGCTCAGCTGTTGAGCGTTGACCTAGGATCCAGGCGATCGGGATTTGATTCCCGGTCAGGGCACGTGCCCAGTTGCAGGCTTGATCAGTGACTCTCTCATCATTGGTGTTTCTGTCTCTCCTTCTCCTTTCCTCTCTCTGAAATCAATAAAGATATATTTTAAAAAAAAACAAAAAGATTCTGGCTTTTGGGAAAATACTAATGGACATATATGTTACTTTTAGAGAATACATCATAGAAACCTAGTATGTCACATGTTTTTACTTCTCTGCTTTCTACATTTTTGTGAAAGCTTTAACCAATATATCCTATGTTTTGAGGGTTTGATTTTGTTTTGTTTTTAACATAAAAATGCACTGGAATTTGCCAAAGTAATACACAGAGCCCCATGTATCTTTCATCCATCTTCTGCCAGTGGTCACCCAAGCCCCTTTTTTTTAGATTTAAAAAAAAAAATACCCAAGGATATTTTTCCATTGGATTTTAGAGTGGAAGGGAGGGAGGGGGTGAGAGGGAGAGAGAAAGAGAAACATTGACTTGAGAGAGACAGACTGATTGGTTGTCTTTCGCACATGCTCTCCCAGGCTGGGATTGAACCTGCAACTCAGGTATGTGTCCTCGACTGTGAATCAAACCCAAGACCCTCTAGTGTGCAGGATGACACCCTAACAACTGAGCCACACTGGCCAGGGTGTGTTCATTGATTTTGGAGAGAGAAAAAGAGGGAAACATCAATGTGAGAGAGAAACAATGATTGCCTCCAATATGTGCCCTGACTCTGGATCAAACCCGCAACCTAGGTATATGTCCCCTGACCAGGAATCGAACCAGCAACCTTTTTGGTGTATGGGACGACGCTCCAACTAATTGAACCACCTAGCCAGGCCCAAACCCTTTTTATGGGCAAAAATCCATCACAATAAGTGACTTCTCTTGAGGGTTCATACCATATATAGCTTTGCAGTTTTATCCACTGAAAGGGCTACTTTGGTTAAATGAAAAGCAAATATATGACTCTGCCTCAGATACATGCTGAAATGTTTTTAGTTTTTATTTGTATATTTTTCTTGAATGTGAGGAATGTTAATGAACTTTTGAAACTTTATCATTGAAAGTTTTATATTGTAAACAGTTTCAGTTGAGTTAAAACTTGTAAAATGCACATATATCAAGTGCTCAGCTCAATTTTTCATGTGTATACACCCAAGTAACCATCACCCAGCATAAGGATATGGAACATTTTCACAACCTTAGAAGATTCCTGTGTGCCCCTTCCTAGTCAGTACTCCTCCAAAGGGAACCACCATTCTTACTTTTCTCACCACAGGAGAGTTCATATTACTGAATTTGAAATATATTTCTTTTAAATTTATAGCTCCTTCAACTAGACTTTGACTTTGAAAAAATCCCTTTGGAAAAACATGATGAAGAATATCGAAGTGAAGATATTCATATTTTATACATCAGAAAGAAAAAATCGGTAAATACATTCCTGGCTCTTTATCCTGAGAAGGTTTCTTTAGCTGGATGCCATCTCTGAGCTTATGTGTGGTGTAGATGTTGATTTTGATGTGGGCAAATAAGCTATGATTTTTCACTGGATTCAGGCACTAACTCTCAATATTAAGGGTCACTTTATCTGGCCTGGGTTCTTCCTCTAAAATAAGACAGGCTTCTTCTTTAAGAGTCCTTTCCAGCTGTAAATTATATAGCTTTATAATGGGGCATTACCTCAGACAAGTAACTTAGCTATTTATATAAGTTTCTGTTATTTCTTAGAGGTTTTAAAGTGCCAGCTCTGACCTTTGTGAACTTTCTCCAACCATTCAAAATTTGTTACTAGTCAAAGTAAAATATAACCACCTTTCCCTAGTGGCTAGGATTTGGCACTTTCAGCACTCCAGCTCAGGTTAGATTTGGCACTTTCAGCACTCCAACTCAGGTTAGATTCCTGGTCAGGAAAGTTAGTATGTTGAATCACTATGTACACCTGAAATAAATATAATATTTGTGTCATCTACACTGTAATAAAGAATACATTTTAAAAAGTATAACAAGGCAGATCTATCCATTAATGAGAACTGCACTCAGTTGAATAGAATTTATGTATATTCCCCTTTTGCTGCTTTCTTTACTTGTTATAACAATTACATTTTATGCAAGTTGCCTCTGAGATGCCTAGAGTATGAGTCTGTAGAAAGGAAGAATTGTATCCATTTTTTATTCTAGCACCTTTAGTATATGTGACTAAAGTTGGTATAAGGCAGAGACATGATTAATTTTGTGAATTAAGGATGTTAAATTTAATAACACATGTTTTTTTTCTGTTGTTTTTGCTTTGATTGAATTTGTGATGAAATGTTCTGATTATGTAAATTCCAGTCAAAAGCAAATAACTTGTAATTTTGGGGATCAGAAATAGATGTTAGGACTATAGGTAAGAGGAGTGGTGGGATTAGTAATTCAAATGAAGCAACTTTTATGTGGCATGATGCTGGAGATACAAAGATAAAAAAATGGTTTATGCCTTAAGGGAGTCAGTTTTAGCTGAAGTTGTGTAGTTTTAAAAGCAGAATTCTTTTGAGGCATAAAGGTTTTATTTTCTAAATATACAGGCTTTATTTTGGCAAAAAGTCATTTTTCTTTTAATTGATATAATTCATGTACCATAAAATTCACCCTTTTAAAGTGGTTTTTAGTTTGTTCACAATTGCACAACCATCACCACTTTCCAATTTTAAACATTTTCATTACCTCAGAAAGAAACCCCCGTACCCTTTAGCGGTCACTTCCTGTTTCTGCCTCCCGGCCCCACCCCACCCCCTAGCCCCTAATTTGTGGTAACCAATGTTCTGTCCCTGTGGATTTGCATATTCTTAACATTTCACATACAGGTATCCCTTGCTTTCTGAAAGTTCACGTTATTCCATTTTGCTTTTATGAAAGACCTGCATTCATACGGTAATGGCTTCTATAAAAGTGAATTTCTTTTATAGAATTTGGATTTCTTTTGCTTAGTGAAAATGAGTACTGACGTAGTCTTTCGTAAAAGTGAAGTGGCATAATGCAAAAGCAGGGATACTCATCGCTTTATGCCATTTCAGCTCATGAAAGGTTTCATAGGAACGCATGAGGGAAACTTATAAATGGAATCACACATGATGTGGCTTCCTGGGTCTGGCTTGTTTCATTCAGCACAGTGTTTTTAAGGTTCGGCTATGTTGTAGCACACATCGGTACTTAACTCCCTTTTTATAGTTGAATATTTCTTTGTATGGTTATACCACATACCTTATTCATCCATTCGCCAGTTAATAGACCTTTTAATATTTTTCACTTTTTGGCTCCAGTGAATAATGTTGCTGCGAATATTCATGTAAACATTTTCGTGTGACATATGTTTTCAAATCTGTTGGGTATATTCCTAGAATAGAATTGCTAGGTCATATGGGAATGCTTTTGAGGAATTGCCAAACTATATTCCAAAGCCACTAGAACATTCCAGTTCTCCATGTCCTCACCAATACTTGTCATTGTCCATCTTTTTTATCATAGTCATCTTGCTTAGTTGGTATGAAGAAATGATAGTTGTAAAAGTTTTTTATGTACTCTAGATAATAGACTCTTCTTACCAGATACATAACTTCCAAATACTTTCTCCCCATTCTTTATTTTTATTTTTATTTTTATTTTTTTAAAAATATATCTTTATTGATTTCAGAGAGAGGAAAGGAGAGGGAGAGAGAGAGATAGAAATATCAATGATGAGCGAGTCATTGATCAAGCCCGCAACCGGGCATGTGCCCTGACCGGGATTCGAACCCCGATTACCTGGATCCTAGGTCGATGCTCAGCCGCTGAGCCACGCCCGGCCGGGCTCCCCATTCTTTAAGTTGTTATTTCATTTTTTTGATAGTATGTCCTTAAGCACAAAAGTTTTTAATTTTGATGATGTCTAATGTATCTTTTTTTCCTTTGGTTACTTGTGCTTTAGGGATCAGCAAGTCCTCTAAACATTATGCATGGTGGTTCATTTGAATTGCATTTAGCCATTACTAAGCATATTACCTAGTATTAAGTACCCCGTAAATACTTCATTTGTAATAAGAATTCATTCTGTAAAGTTTCCATTTTTTTTCTTACAGAAATTTCTGTCGTAAAATCTTTAGTCATCTTACCCAAGCCTCTAACAACCTGGGTAAGCTAAAGATGTGAATGGAGCATGTGAATATAGCATGGGAAGACTGTGTTCACAGGTTTTTCCAGAATACCCTTAGAGGTCTGATATATAGATGACAACCATCGTGAGCTGCCTGCAAAACAAAAAAATGACTGCCGGTCTACCAGCCAGTGGGCCTGAAATCCAACTTACTTTATGCTTAAAAGAAACATTGTGTATTAGTCACTCCTCAGATAAAAATTGGTATTGAGGTTAGCCTAAAGTCTGCCAAAAATAAACAGTGAAGCAGCATGGTTGACTTGGCTTATTTTCCAGAAATAGATAAATTGATCCATTTTCTAAAGAGAAATATATATGGCTATGTAATAAAGTTTAAATTCAAATCAGTAAATTTTAGTTTGTCTTCAAGATAGGTAAATTTAAAAGTTTCATTTTAACATAATTATGCACTGGTTTTTATCATACGTATCTTCCACTTTGTTGCTTTTACGATAGCTTTAACACTTAAATGTTCTTTTATGTTAAAAACCACAAAAATATTTTGTGTAGTTACATTGGCCAAAGTTGTATTCTTTCCTCCGCGATACATGTCTACATGAGTTAGAAAGTAAATTATACTGTAGTGAGTTGGTAAGAATGAAAGAAGATTAGGAGAGGGGATGGGGTGAGAATAAATCCCATTTTCAGCCTCGTGCATTTATGCGGCTCATGTACTTTTTTCATGTATGTCTTCCAGGAAAAAGTGGCTAAAAATCACTGGTGTTAACTTGTTTATATGAAACAGAAACGTGTTTAAATAACTACAAATGTAGTTCTATATACATTTAGCAAATGGTTTTGATTCTGTGTAGTCTTTTTATGTTATCACCTGCTCACAGACTGATCTGTCAAGTCTCATCAGTTCCAAAGAGTAATAGTAGATGATAGAATTCTGGTGCTAGGTGGCACATTTTATGTGTTAAAATAAATATTCTTTTTGAGATCCTGTGACTGAATGTTTCAGAAATGGCTTTGAAGAAAATGAAGATCTAAAGTAGATAACTGCTTTCCAGAAAGAGCAAAAGCAGCCCTCTTTAGAGAAATTAAGGATCAACATCAAGAGAACAGTTTTTCCTTCAGGGTTACTTCAGTCTTTAGTTTGTTTTGCTGTTCTTTTTCAAATACTTTGTTCATACTGGCCTTAGCATTTTATTAAGCAGTTTACTAAGCAGTTAGTATGACCTAAGTATGTGATACTTTGTTGCAGAGAGCACCAGCTATTAGTGAAGTCTTAGGACTATTGACCAGCTGTAGTAGGCCACCCAGATTCCTCACATCCTTTTTCACCCTCCTCTCCTTTTCATTATACTCGTAACGTACAGTATACCTGTGGGTCTTCAGCCTAAAGTGCCCCTCGACATTCCTGTATAAAAGCCCACTTTACCTTGGACAGGTGTACCTTACACTCCAAAACTTCCTGGAGAGAAGTCAGGCTGAAGTCACCCTCTGTTCAACTTGGCCGTAATCACACCCATGTGTGTTTTTCCTCCCTTTCCTGTCCTATTCCCAGTCCTTTACTTGACTTAACATCTCCTTAATAAATCACTTGCATCAATTTTGACAAAATGTTAGAATTTAATAAAGCTAAGTGTGAAGCCTCAAAAAAAAAAAGTCACTCGCATACATTCATCACTTTCTGGGGAACTGACCTAAGTTACTGGCTGTAGAGTTAAAGTAATTTGTAACAGAGTCAGTTGGGATTTCTCCCTGTTATGAAATAAGGCCAAAGTGGAAGTTAAAAGTTACCACGTCTCCATGTTCTAAGATCAGAGAACTGCTGGTGATTAGGACCAGTGAGCACTGCCAGGGTTGCTGAGAGGTGCCAGTTCCTAGAACATGCCCTGTCACCAACCACCGTTCGCCCCAGCCGGGGAGGTCGTGTGGAGGAGTGTAATTTTAGTCCTTTGGGCTCTGTCCTGGGGGAGAAAACGGCTGTCTGCTCTTAGAAACCACAGGAGGGAGGCCTGAGAATAATTCGAGATTCAGGAGGCCTCCAAGAAGGGCAGACCAGCATTTTTTCCACCTGATCGGATTTGTGTTTACCTAGCAGATCAGCACATTTGCTGTTTTATCCAGAGCACAGGAATGGAATTGGAGAGGTAGCATGGGAACTGTTAGAGAGGCATTGAAGTGGATCCTGCCAGCCTGAGAGCTGATACGTGAGTTGGGGGTTATGGAACTTCTGCTGCAATCGGAGGAGGTTAAAAGGCAGGGGCAACAGATGAGTGAGGTGATTCCACTCTGCAGAGGGTCTGTCAGAATATAGCCAACTCTCAAATCTCAACACAGCCAGTGCTGGGTGGAGCTGCTCGGGAGTGAGCCTCTGGTCTTTCACGCTAGTGGGGGCTAGTCTGTGCACAGAAACTCGTAGGGCACTTACTAGAACACAGCCAAGTAGGGAGCCACCACAATAAGGCAGTGTTTCTCAAACTAGGCTACACATGGGGTCACCTGGAAAATTAAAAGCTGCTATCAGAGGCATGGTGTTTTTGTTAAAGAGCTCCAGATGGTTTTAGGATAGCCTAAACTGAGAGCTATTGCAGTAAGGAAACCTAGCATCTGCTTCCCAAAGAGAAGAGAGCACAGAAAGGAGAAATACAAAAACGAACTCTCCGTGATTAGAGCGGGCCTGTACTGCGGCGTAGGGAGGAAAGGAGATTTAGATCCGATGTGGAATCTTCCACGAAATCGATTTTAAAATAAACAGGACTAAGCTTCAGAAACTGACTAAATATCTGAAAATTTAGAGAATCTAGCCAAGAAAAAGGTGATACTACTCAAGTGGAAAGGGGAATTCAATAGCTGGAAAAAGAAAACCATTAGCAGGTATAGTCACCAGCGACTTGGGCCTCCTCTCTATACCAGCTACAACTAAAGATCTTTGAGGCTGCATAGCTTTGAATATTAACTTGCTACAGTTCATAACCAACGGTCCAGAGGTCATATGTTTGGTGAACTTAGTGAAGTTAGGTTATTTTTAATTATTTTAGGAAGTAGTAATCCATGATGATTGGTAATGGGATTTTTTACACAGCATATCTTAAAATTTTTTTTTTCCTTTTCCTTGAAAGTTTCCTTATTATATGATGCCAAATACAATATTAAACTCAGACTACAGATGTATTCATTTAAAAAATGAGGGTCATAGAAATAGGACTTGTTTTTCTAAAGGTTCCCTGTAGGTGGCAATGCTTGACCTTGTCTTTAAACAGTTTATAGAAAGGAAGTTGTTAAAATAGAATATTTTCAAGTGGAATCACACTTGCATTTCAAAGGTGAATTAAATCGGATTTTAAAGAATAAACCTACCTACCTATTATGAGTTGCTTTCAGAATATGACGTGATTAGCTTTGTCTGTTTGGGCTGTTATAACAAATTACTATAGATTGGATGGCTTATTAACAACAGGAATTTATTTCTTACAATTCTGGAAGCTGGGAAGTCCAAGATCAAGGTGCCCACTTTCTTATGAGCAGCTGTTCTCACTGTAACCTCACATGGCAGAAGGGCAGGTGATCTGCCTGCCCCCCCCCCTTTTTTTTTTTAATCCTTACCCAAGGATATTTTTTTCCATTGATTTTTTAGAGAGGATGGAGGGAGGGAGGGGGAGAGAGAAAAATCAATGTGAAAGAGATACATTGACATTCCTGCAACCCAGATACGTGCTCTTGACCAGGAATTGAACCCTAGACCCTTGATGTGCAGGCCAACACTCTAACCACTGAGCCATACCAGCCATGAAGAGCTTCGTCTTCATGACCTGCTCACCTCCCAGAGACCCCACCTCCAAATACCATCACTTTGGGGGAATAGGTTTCAACATACAAATTTGGGGGACACATTCAGATCATAACAGTATAAGTGAAACTGGATTTTTTTCTTAGAAAATTGTATCTGATTTATCCTTTTGTCCATTGCATTCTGATTTGCCTTTTGAATTTTTGAATGTCATTCATAAAGCTACATAAATTGTAATTCGTAAAACATTTCTCTGCAATCTTCTATGAGAAAGAGACATTTAAGAGGCTAAAATTCAAGTTCTAAAAATTCACCTTGAAAGTACCTTTTATATAATGCTCGATTTTACATCTGAGATACTTGAAATTACTAATTTTAATTAGTTTTTCAAACTAGTGTATCTTCCTCACTAGAGTTGTAAATAGCTTTTACATCAAAGACTGAAAGCTCTGGCTTTGGCTACAGTGTACCTTGCACCTGTAAGTTTTGGCCAGCTACTTGACTTTCAGTTTTTCTTTTTCTTCAGGAACATCATAATTTGAAAGAGTTTTTGATTCATTGATAATATTGTAAAAGTAAAATATTCAGTTTTCATACCATAGACACCTTCAGGTTAATATGAATACAGGAAAAAGTTGGGAACAAAATTTTACTGAAAATCAAGTAATGGAAAAACAAAGTTTTTACATAATTTTGGTTGGGAAAGCAGTAAATTCCCAAATCATTTTCACCAGATAGGTTAAAACTATTAGTATCTGTGGTCATTTAAAACATTGTCTTAGGTTTTATGTATTGGCGGAGTTCTGTGAAGATCTAGTGTGTCCATTGATTGTGAGATACATTTTATGTAATTTATTAATAGCAATACAGTTTTCAAAATAATAGACTTTAAAAATGTTAGAGCAAATTATCTGGATGATGTTTTCCCCATGTGCATTCTGAAAACAGTGTTGTCAGAGCACAGGCTCTAGACCAGATTATCTGGGTTTGAATCCTGGTTCTGCCACAACTAGCTATGTGACCTTGAGGAAGGTACTTAAACTCTGTGTGCCTCAGTCTCTTCACATGTAAGGTGAGGGTAATAGTATCTCCCTCATAGTTTGCCATAGGGATTAAATCAGTTTAATACATGCAATGCATGTAGGTACCTGACACATAGTAAGTGTTCTGTAAATGTGATTATAGTAGGGGTGGAATTATTTTACATGTGGGGACTGGGAGCATGTGAATAATGCCAGTTGACTTTTACCCGTGTTACAGTGCAAAATGTGGGCATCTTTTTGACAGTTTAGGACCCATGTAAACATCACTCCTCCATCATGATGGGAGGAGGTTGACAATGCTTCACAGTGCTATTATTTGAACAAGTAAGCAATTTTAGAAAGAAAGAAAATATGGTGGAAGAGAAACCTTTGCTGTTCATTTTTATGGTTCTAAAGCAAGTTCCTTGAGCATTCAAAGGCCAGTAGAGCCATGGCCTGTGTGGCTCAGTTAACCAACTGGGCATTGTCCCGCATAACAAAAGGTTGCCAGTTCGATTCCTGATCAGGGCACGTACCCAGGTTCTGGGCTTGATTCCTGGTAGGGGGTGTGCAGAAGGCAGTCAATCGGTGTTTCACTCTCACATTGCTGTTTCTCTCTCCCTTTCCCTTTCTCTCTCTAAAAAAAAAAAACAACAAAAAACCAATAGAAACAGAGAAAATCCTCATTTCTAAATATGGGAACCTGGCCTTGCTGGCTGGAGCTCCAAGATTAACATTCCATTGCCCTGGATTCTTAGCCAGTTCTTCCTTCTTTGGCTCTTAGCTCTGTTAAACTGAGACCAGTTAGGTAGCAGGTAATTAAAGTACAGCAGGTCATTTTTTTGAAGTCTGGCACTTGATGTATCCGCATAACCATCTTCAGAGGTTAGATGTATTAACTCTTAAAAGAGCAAGGTGACCCTAAAATGCCTCTGTACCAGTTGTCCTCTAGATAAATGATCTTTTACCATGTCATAAGTATGTGTGGTGGGATGCAGTAGCTTAACTAATCCCTTAGACTATGTGCCAACAGACAAGAATGAAAGTCAGAACCTTGAATTATATCTGCTTCTCCATCGGCCAGTATAAAATAGCACATGTGCTTAACTGCATTATATTAAACTTTCAAGGCCTTTTTGTTTTCAGTTGATGAAAAGATTATCATGAACACTAAATAGTTGG